TATCCAACTACAGATATGAGTCTCTTTAGCTAATTTGTATCTTTATACATACTACTCAAGAACAGTTAAGAACAACCTGATTCTTTCATCTTTCATATTACTATATGTCATCGTATCCCAATTGGGTGGATCGATGCTCATGTCAATCATTGGATTGTCTGGTCCAGACTCAATTATTAAACAGACCACAGTCATATAGCTGGAATATTGCTGAGTATGGCGTTAAACAAAAAAATAAATAAATCATATTACTATAGTTAATCTGTCATGCCATGACACAGTTACGATAGTAATATGAAAGAATCAGGTGGTCCTTAACCTGTTTGAGTAGTATATCACAAAAAGATCATATTTTTAATTATTTGAAATTGAGATATGGTAAAAAATGTAAAAAATCTAAATTTATATTTTGTGCGTCAAATAGTCTAGAGATGAATAAAAATGACACTTCGAGCAGATTGGGACAGTGGTCGTCTGAAAGGACGATGTGAGTATATGTACAGTAACATTATTGTTTGGGTCATCTACATAAACCATCAACTGCATAAACACTGGCTTCATGACATACGTATATATAGTCCTCAAATTCAGTTTATTGGCATACGAGATCATAGATTATCTGATGCTGTAAATAACAACTTGTTACTCCACACACAAAAATGCATGGATAATATTTAACAATAGTGGATACAAAAGGTGAATGAATGATAGCCAAATATGATTTTTTCAAAACAAAATTGTCATGTTTGCAATGATAAACCCTAGACCAGCATCACCCATAGGGGTACTTACTTGCATCATATATCCATGCAAGTTTTGAATGCAGATGCTGAAAAAATTAAGTTTTTCTACAGATCACACCATGACATAAACTCAGTAACCACATCTAGAAACTAGATATCACAGGCAGACTTTCAGAGAGAAGATGTTCATTCTTATCTCTCAGGAAAAACATGAAGAAACATTTCATGCTTGTTCCTTTCTCCACTATTCTTTGTTTTTATAGTTTTAAAATAAAACTCATAGCCTTGTATAAGCACCTAACAGTATAGACAGCCTCTGTGGTCTTGTGGTAGAGCATCCACCCAGAGAGCGGAAGGTTCGAGGTTCAATCCCTGGCTGCGTCCCACCAAAAGACGTTAAAAGATGGTACTTGTTGTTACCCCGCCTGGTGCTTGGCATTAAGGGACTAAAACAAAGACTGGTTGGCTCGGAGTCAGTATACTGTGTCTGAGTGGGGTGTCCATGTTAAACTGGTCGGCTCGGAGTCAGTATACTGTGTCAGAGTGGGGTGTTCATGTTAAACTACAGCATGGTATCTCCATTGGCTAGCACTATAATATCAGCATCAGTCACGACTAGTACAAGCAGCCACACACACACACACACACTCAATTGCATGCACGTCGCTATATAAATGCAATAATCTTGGACGTGACCTAACACCCCATTTCACCTCACCTCACCTCACCTCACCTCACCTCACCTAACTTAGTATACATGGACCAAAAATGGATACCATTGTCCACACAGATGGACCACACATACACACAGCTGTAATAATTAGATCCAAAACAAATATTCTATTCTCAGTGTTACACTGCCACATATACTATCTGGGGTTAAAGTCACCTCAGCTGATTCCATGAATATTCCATTTCCTGTCTTTTAATGACATAGTACCATAGGCATAACAACAGTGCTGGATCTTCTTTCAGTCCAGTGACAAAATGTTCTTGAAATACAGCAGACCCCATAAAAGAAATCTGGTCATTATCCTCTTTTATCAAAAGATTTGGACACAAAATGCAACCTCAACAAAACATCATAGCCTCTTAGTCCATTAAAACTTTCGCAAATTGGCATAATAGCTCCTTCGTTTGTAGCTACATAAAATGCCAATGCCTTAAACAACATCAAAGCGTCGTAGAACGCAGACTGAAACGGATGAACAAACGTGTGTGATCGCTTCCCATAATTCCCTCCCATTTATGAATACATCCAGACATATTAATCATATTTGTGCACATCTTTCAAGTGGAGGGATGGTCCTGTCACAAACAGTATGTCTTTGTCTGGTGGGCAATGAGAGACGATGGCCCATGACTTGCTAGCAGCTTTTGTGTTCGCTTGTTGGCCATTTCACACTCTTTGTAATCCGCCTTAGTGAGATCAGATTTTCTGAACAATTTTATGGTACACTGAAAATGTAGAAATAATTGTCCATCCATCAGCCGGACTAACCAGAATGTAAAGATGGCTGATTGTGTGGAGGTATTTCAGGCAGTGGAGATGACATCAGTGGAAAATCGCAACAGAACAATATTTTGTTGCTTAGGCGGATCCAGACTGGGGATCCAGACTGGGGATCCAGAGGGTCCAGACCTACCCCCACTTTTGGAAACCAAATGTAGAATGTTATAGGCAGTAAAATTGACTGAGAGAGGATTTTGATATTTAGGACCCCTTCCCTTAAAAATGCTGGACCTGCCTTTGCGTTGGATGGGAACTCAAGATATTCAAGTGGGAATAGGTTGTTGGCTGAACCAAAAATCTTTTAGGACATTTTTAAGTAATGAAGTTTGAGTGCACATATTTAAAAAAACGCATCCTTAAAAATATTCATGATCCCTAACTTTTTTTGTTCAGTATATAAATTTCCCCACTATTGAATCAGGAGTGATCATTGTAAAGATTATTCTCCAGCCTTGATGTTTTGGAAATAAAAATGTCCTTGACCTGAAAATTTCACTCATCAACTAACAGATACAGCCTCAGCATATGTTGATAATCAAATATGCATTGGTGTGCCAATATGAAGCCATAAGCTTTATTATTCACACCGACAAGAACCTTCCTTATATTTCCCATTCTATAACCAAAGTTAAGCTACTACTCAAAACATCCAACTCCAACACAACACTACTCAAATTGAAAACACACAAACCAAAATAGCCAATCAGTCATATGAAATTAGAAAACATTTTCCTAAACTGAAATATCCACTATGAAACTTTACACATCCAAAATAGAAACGAACACGACCCAATACGTCTCACATGCCTGCCGCCAACCAACCCTGCCAGACGTCTCCCGCGACAACAGATCTTTTTTAAGGCTCCGGGATTACATGGAAGCTCTTGAAGACTCCTGACTGTCAGGTAGGCTTGGTCCCCCCTCAGAGTGGGCCCAGTAATGAAGATGAAATGCGTTACCCTCGAGACCAACATTACATAAGATCAGGGGGATTCCGTCACTGCTTTTAATGATGTCTCGATCAGGTCTGTTCACGGGGACAAGCACAAGAGCCAAACGAACTCGGATACGGAGCTTCTCTTACCACGCCACTCTTCAGCTTGACATACACTTGAATATATCTTAGACGCCTGTCACAATTATTGACCATTTTGTGAAGCAACTTTTAATAATTTTTAGATTGATTTTGATTTTTTTTAACTGAAGTGGAGGGAGTTTCGTAGTGCTGTCATCTTTCCATTAAAGATGTGGTGCAATGGGCAGTTGGTACGGCAGGTGCTTGTTAGGCTGGTTTGATTCCCAATATGGATATTGATTAGAAATTCATGAGATTCCCAAAGGATGTACGTAAAATTGTTAAAAACACATTTCAAACTAAACACTCTTTTTATGAGAAAATCTATACATACGTCTCCATGCCCCTAAGACTCCTGAAGTATCTTAACTCTTGTAGCATAAGAGAACTATCTGCAGACTACACACAATCATTTATACTGGAAAAAAACCTTATTGACTCAAGCATACACAAATAGTTTTTTTTATGCTCAAATCATAAACTGAGCTATGCCATGTTTCCATTAAATCAAATAACATGAGATTTCTTTAGTGGATTTCCATAAAAAAACACTGACGTATTTATGTGAGTATTTATGTCTACTCAGATAACCATACAATCTATCATTGTGAGAAATCAGTCAAGTCCTTTATCGATATTGCAGTTGAAACTATGAAAACAGGACTCTATCTTGCCACGCTTCACAAGACTGCTATCTAAGAAACCCATTACGTGAAGATATGTGTGTCTGATAACATACAACGAGTTGAATGACAATTATGGTGACCCACCAATGTCATATTCTATCAACATAAACTTGACACAAAATAAAAACAACACTTTATCATGTATGAATTGTATAAAAAAAATACAGATTTATTTTGTGGAATATTAAAAAAACCACAATCATATCTCTAAAAGTTCAAGAAAACACATAAATACACCAAGCGATGTAGCCCATGATCACCGATTCACCCTACAGATCCAGTGAACTATATTTTGCTGACTAAAGTGGATCTTGATTAAATCAACTGCTACGATTCTTGACCTTAAATCGCGTTAATTGGGCACGCATCTTGCAGACATCTTCAGCAGAGTGTGGGCTTCTAAAAGACCCCGCTCAATCGGACAGACACAAGAGAAGGAATTCCACGACAAAACCCTCTGCGAGCATGGAGACTCTGTATGCAGTGCTTGTACTACTTTCACACGGAATGGTAATGCAATTTCCTTCCTCTCTGCTGACCTTTCATTGGTACTCAACTCCACCGATATTCTGGGAATCCTCTCTTCCCTATTTCGTTTTGTCCATTTACAACATATTTCAATTATCTACATGCAATCTACATTTTTTTTACATCTTTAAAAAGTTTAAAATAAATTCATAGAAAATCAATGTCGATTAAAACAGTGTCATAGATTATATGACATTAATATGAAGACACTTCTTGTGCAATTGAAGGTATAAGAATATGTGGGAATACGAGTACCAGTATCTATCATAAAATACCATTTGGTCTGAAAGGATGTCCTTTAAGCATTAAAAAAATTAATAAAATACAGAATGTTAAACCGAAAAAGAATGTCTTATCTCAGAGAGCATCTAATCCCCTGGAAATGATGAAGTACCGATGAAGTACACCATGAGGAAGTTGTCCCTGGACTCCACAGAATAACATGCAGAACATACCTTTCACAACATTCTCAGTTCCTCCGATGTTAACTTCTTGGATGAGCTTCCTGTTCAACTGAAACAGGAAAATAAATTACTTTTTATCTGAACAAATAAATAAATGCATTGAACATTTTGAACACGAAAGTTTACTTCCATTTCAAATCCCTTAGATGTGTTAACACAGCAGTAAGCAGCAGTAAGCAGCAGACCCAACTACATTACAGCAGCCTGTTAAATCTGGAAAGGCAAACCAGTGATTGAAAGCATGAGCAAGTCATGAGCCTGATAACCCCTTCTCATTTAGCCACCGCTTGCAACCAGCGATGGAGTAGTTGGAGCCTTTCTTCACAATCAGACTACAAGAGCCGTGTGTCACTGTGTTGTACAATCAGACTACAAGGGCTGTTTGTCACTGTGTTGTACAATCAGACTACAAGGGTTGTGTGTCACTGTGTTGTACAATCAGACTACAAGAGCCGTGTGTCACTGTGTTGTACAATCAGACTACAAGAGCCGTGTGTCACTGTGTTGTACAATCAGACTACAAGGGCTGTTTGTCACTGTGTTGTACAATCAGACTACAAGGGTTGTGTGTCACTGTGTTGTACAATCAGACTACAAGAGCCGTGTGTCACTGTGTTGTACAATCAGACTACAAGGGCAGTGTGTCACTGTGTTGTACAATCAGACTACAAGGGCTGTGTGTCACTGTGTTCTACAATCAGACTACAAGGGCTGTGTGTCACTGTGTTGTACAATCAGACTACAAGGGCTGTGTGTCACTGTGTTGTACAATCAGACTACAAGGGCCGTGTGTCAATGTGTTGTACAATCAGAGTACAAGGGCTGTGTGTCACTGTGTTGTACAATCAGACTACAAGAGCCGTGTGTCACTGTGTTGTACAATCAGACTACAAGGGCTGTGTATCACTGTGTTGTACAATCAGACTACAAGGGCTGTGTGTCACTGTGTTGTTCAATCAGACTACAATGGCTGTGTGTCACTGTGTTGTACAATCAGACTACAAGGGCCGTGTGTCACTGTGTTGTACAATCAGACTACATGAGCTGTGTGTCACTGTGTTGTACAATCAGACTACAAGGGTTGTGTGTCACTATGTTGTACAATCAGACTACAAGGTCCGTGTGTCACTGTGTTGTACAATCAGACTACATGAGCTGTGTGTCACTGTGTTGTACAATCAGACTACAAAGGCTGTGTGTCACTATGTTGTACAATCAGACTACAAGGGATGTGTGTCACTGTGTTGTACAATCAGACTACAAGGGCTGTGTGTCACCATGTTGTACAATCAGACTACAAGGGCCGTGTGTCACTGTGTTGTACAATCAGACTACAAGGGCTGTGTGTCACTCTGTTGTACAATCAGAATACAAGGGCTGTGTGTCACTGTGTTGTACAATCAGACTACAAGGGCTGTGTGTCACTGTGTTGTACAATCAGACTACAAGGGCTGTGTGTCACTATGTTGTACAATCAGACTACAAGGGTTGTGTGTCACTGTGTTGTACAATCAGAGTACAAGGGCTGTGTGTTACTGTGTTGTACAATCAGACTACAAGGGTTGTGTGTCACTGTGTTGTACAATCAGAGTACAAGGGCTGTGTGTTACTGTGTTGTACAATCAGACTACAAGGGTTGTGTGTCACTGTGTTGTACAATCAGACTACAAGGGTTGTGTGTCACTGTGTTGTACAATCAGACTACATGAGCTGTGTGTCACTGTGTTGTACAATCAGACTACAAGGGCTGTGTGTCACTGTGTTGTACAATCAGACTACAAGGGCTGTGTGTCACTGTGTTGTACAATCAGACTACAAGGGCTGTGTGTCACTGTGTTGTACAATCAGACTACAAGGGTTGTGTGTCACTGTGTTGTACAATCAGAGTACAAGGGCTGTGTGTTACTGTGTTGTACAATCAGACTACAAGGGCTGTGTGTCACTGTGTTGTTCAATCAGACTACAAGGGCTGTGTGTCACTGTGTTGTACAATCAGACTACAAGGGCTGTGTGTCACCATGTTGTACAATCAGACTACAAGGGCTGTGTGTCACTGTGTTGTACAATCAGACTACAAGGGCTGTGTGTCACCATGTTGTACAATCAGACTACAAGGGCTGTGTGTCACTGTGTTGTACAATTAGACTACAAGGGCTGTGTGTCACTGTGTTGTACAATCAGACTACAAGGGCCGTGTGTCACTGTGTTGTACAATCAGACTACCATCTGTTTCAACGTTCATCAATGTGTGGCCAGTTGTCATGATGGCTATCTGTTCATGAATTCAGCAGATCCTAGCAGCTCACAACCTCTCATACAAGGAAACGGCAAAGATAAGAGTGAAATGGGGCTTTATGAATGTTGCGTCCCAGATTATTGCATTTTTATAGTGATGTGCATGCATACGTGTGTTTGTGGCTGCTTGTATTATGCAAGACTGATGCCAATTCTATAGTGCTAGCCTACTGATATGAAATGACGCAGTTTAACATAAATTTCTAACCATTCTGACACAATATACTGACTCTGAGCCCTCCTTGAACAGTCCTTGTTTTAACTCCATAATGCCGAGCGCCAGGCAGGGTAACAACAAGTATCATCTTTTAATGTCTTTTGGTCGCAACTTGGGATCAAACCCGGATCTTCCACTCTCCGAGCGAACACTGTACCACAACACCACAGAGGTGGCTGAGTGACTTTAGAAGTTACATATATTTAGAAGTCATAGAATATATTTTCCATAAATTTATTCCATACATTTTCATGCATACAAGAGCAACCACCATATTACACTTATTTACAAACACAAAGCCAGTTATTTTTATATTAAGTTCAGCTTAAAGAGTTAACAACACTTCTCCCTAGCACTGACCTAAATATACCCTCTCATCCTCAATAAAAAACATTTTGGCAACAGTGTTCAACAGCAGACAATTGTGAGGGGAAGTTCTCTAGTTAGTCTGGCAGCCACATTTGCATGCCATTAGTGATGGCCTGTATCTGAATTGCCGTCCCTCCAATAAATGTTTTGTGTGATTTAGAGGCTATCAGACATTGTTATCTGACTATTGTGGGCAGGGATAGATAACAAATCACCCTGTAGGGTCAGAAATAGAAGCATCTGTTCCCCAGTCCTTCCCCAACCCTGTTGCCAGCAGAAGTCAACAGTTGACACTACAGGACACGGCCCTGTTCCACAAAACCATCTTAGCACTAAGGTGATCACAACTCTCATACTTTAACATAGGCTAACGACCAGCGTAGCACTAAGATCACTGTGAAACGAGGCCCAGGACATTATTCAAACTGTTTCTAGCAAAGTCTTACTTACCCTGATGAATGACATTGCTAACTAGATTTGGCTTTTTGGTACATCTTTGGAACTAATTTGTACTCTCATCATTTTTTGGGGGGATGGGGGGGTGTAACTTGGAACTGGGCTAAAAATCTATTGACATATGATTTTCAAGATCAAGAATATTTCTTTTCAATTGATGACTGTGTTCTGTGATGCCTCTGTCCAGCAGAAGTTTCAGCAGCAGCAAGGTTAACTGTGGCTGGGTGAGTGGTTGTAAGCTACAGAATGTGACTAGAGAGTTGTGAGCAATGATATGGTCATTGATTAGTTAGTTTACTATACTAACATTCCAGTCCAGGGCCCATTTCCACAAAGCTTAGACTTAGTCTCCAGTGTTGGACCTGAGTTAACTCAAGCTGGTACCCTGACAACATGGTCCATGGTCTGGTTACTGAAAGTTGGCACACTGACAACATGGTCCATGGTCGGGTTACTGAAAGTTGGCACACTGACAACATGGTCCATGGTCTGGTTACTGAGAGTTGGCTCACTGACAACATGGTCTATGGTCTGGTTATTGAAAGTTGGCACACTGACAACATGGTCTATGGTCTGGTTACTGAAAGTTGGCACACGGACAACATGGTCTATGGTCTGGTTACTGAAAGTTGGCACACTGACAACATGGTCTATGGTCTGGTTACTGAAAGTTGGCACACTGACAACATGGTCCATGGTCTGGTTACTGAGAGTTGGCACACTGACAACATGGCCTATGGTCTGGTTACTGAAAGTTGGCACACTGACAACATGGTCAATGGTCTGGCTACTTTAGGTTGGCACACTGACAACATGGTCCATGGCCTGGCTACTAAAAGTTGCCACACTGACAACATAGCCAATGAACTATCTGGTGTTAATGCTACAATTATACTGCAGTTAAGGTGTCCTGGGTTTTTTTCAATTATTTTTGTTTGTTTTCGTAACAGAGGTCAGATTAATAGTAAAGATTTATCCAGTTTTAAACTTCTTCCTGATATTGGCATTTTTTCTGCAGTTTTCCAAAGTATCTCAATTCTCTCCGAGAAGTTGAACTGTCTAACCCTACGAAAATGTTAAATGTTCAATGAACACTTAAGACTTTTATCTTCTTACGTATTAATCAATATTTGTCCAATATGAATTGAAATGAGATGAGAGCTCATGTTATAATCTTGTCATTTAACAAATCTCTCCCTAATACAGTTGCCATACATAAATTATACCTGGACAACCACTGTACGGTTATTAAGAAGCCTCAATGACCATAAGTCGTTAATTACAAATATCTACTTTAATATTAATCCCATTTGTACTCCAGAGCCTGTTGAGAGCTGCCAATCATTAAGGGGAGATCACTCATGGTGAACGTCCTCCAATTTCCCAAGAGCTTTGTCTTGACCGTTGCATGCAATATCGTTATTAAATAGACAAGGGGTGGAATAAATAGACAAGAGTGGAATATTATCACCTGCATTATATCAGTGACGACAGCCAAAAAAGGCTGATTTATGTAAAGGATAAAATGATACGTTGTGTATTGATCAGGGGAATATTGGAGCCACGCTGAATCTCCAATTGAGATCTCGGCAGCTGGGCATAATCTGTAAGATATATCTTAATATTACCTCTTTTTTCATCATTGTACATTTGCCTTATTAAGTAATGAAAAGGTTGAGACAAAAGTTTGCACGTCTGCACAACGTGGGCAG